CTTGAAATCTCAATCTCGACGCAAAACGTTACAACTATTCCAAACAACGAAGTACTGTACTCAATATAGCATTGTCATAGAGCATGAATAATTCGACAAACTGAGAACAATAACTCGATCGGGAACCGTAACACTCGACAAAGATTAAATTTACAACGAGACGGCTACGCTTCTGAGCACGTGGGAGCCCGAACCAATGAGTCATTAGCCTTTGCAACGGCTATTGTCAAACTTTTTCCCATGCGCCCGTGTTACGCGCGAATTGCGGACACTTCTTCCACGATTCGTTTTAATAACCGACTTAGCTTAACAGTGTAGGGGCCGTGTCAGTGTTACGTCCTTATACGATAGTTTAAGGTGATGATCTCACGGTTTGTGTAGTTACACTCCTTTTAGCGCGTTTGGAAAAATTATGAGAGTCAAACGTTTGCCCGCTGCCTGTTATCCCAAGTCATTTGATTAGACCGTTATCAATTGCATTTAATGTCTTTTTCATAAACAAAGAGTACTGGCAACGGGGGTTTTTTAGTCATTTTTCTTTTGTTAATATAACTTTGTACGCGCGTACATAAGTAAGTACACCTAGGTTTATTTATCCTAACGGTAGCAGACGGAGATTAGGATGTCCACATAGTCATCATAGTTACGTGACAAGTCGGTAGGTATTGCAACGTAAGTTGGGCACAACTCTGAAATTTTTATTTAAGCGCGTGTGAAATAAAAAACAAATTTCGATGGCATTGTCGGAGCGTCGAATCCGCGACACATCATCGTGAGTCGCGGACTCTAACCGCTGCGTCGCCTCTGCCCGTTTCCTTTACAGACGCTTAGATTTTTCAAAACGTATTCGTCATATATTACAGCGTATACTCACAAATACTAGAGTTTTTTTGTATTATACTTTGATGACCCTTGTGGTGGGTCGGTTCCTAGAGCAGTACGTGAAATAGCCATTCATTTAATCTGAATTAAAGTAACAAACTTTGTTTTATTAGAGTATCACCTTATAGAGATCGCAGCGGCTTCTTCCTTTGCGGATTTCCCTTAACGAGGGAGGTACCCAGTTGCCTAGTGGTGTCATGAATTAACCACATCTCCCTGTATGAGGTAGTCGGAAACCATATTCAGAGGTCGCCAACACCTAAACCTCTTTTTTTTGAAGAACATTGCCCTTACTTGAGGATAACATTATCCTGTGTTGTAAGGACGTTTTGCATACATAAATTTCACGTGGACAAACACCCAGATGCGAAACAACTATCTGTGGGTCGCACAAATAGTTGTCCCGAGAGGGAATCGAACCCTACTGATGACCCACTTCTTCGTCAATCCATCAACACTTGTAATATTAAGAGTGACAGCGAATTTTCTGATTTGTGTGTTTTGATATTCGAAATCCCTACACATATTTCAAAAAAATCTTTTACCATTCAATAGAATATTGCGCCTTTCATTTCAGATGGGCACAAGCATATAGCCTTATGAATAATTCATGTCATGCCTGATATCTTCAGTGGGACCGCGTGGTGGACAATGCCCTGATACCCTCCGTATAGAGGAGGCCTTTGCCCAGCAGTGGGATATGTATAGGCTGCTCTACACTATATGAACGCGCGGATCCAACAGAAAACTGAATTGCACCAGAGCGAATGCGGGGCTGGTACCTCGTATGTCAATCCTGTTAGGCATTTTGTCAATTAGCCAAAATAGAGTTTACAAGTTACGCAATCCATAAAACTGTCCTACTTCTATTAAGGCATTGTCCGTAAAATATATTGAGCTTCCCACGTGCACACGAAAACTCGAAAAACTTTAGCTGTTCATTAATTTCATGAGTGTAGCCCAACGAAGGTTTCGAAACCACCGCAACGGGTCTGTCTATTCCATCCATTTTTGACTACGTACAATTGTTATGAGCTCGTCTCCATTGTTACGAAGTAACGGGACGTGTTATAACCAGATGATACTCACGTTCAACTTAACCGTAAGAGGCTGCGCTAGCGGCGGGCTTTGATTTCTTATAGCTAAGGCGATGAACTCCAAAGTTAACAGTTGCTGCTTCTGTTACCGCAAGAGTAATTAAATTATTCACGGAAAGAAATCAGCAAGAGAAGAATAGACGTAAAAGCGTACAGCTATTAATTTTACGTGCGATTGGACTTTTAGCCTTACTTCCCTCAAATCGAAAACCATATTTATTTCAACTAATGTCGACAGAAATAAATTCGCAGTGCATAAGTAATTTGTTATTTCAGTCAAGGGACGTTAGACTTTTCTCTTAAGAAAATTCGCAAGCCACACTCTACGGACTAATTTTTAAGATTTACAAAGACCGACAAAGTCGCGTTGATCGATTTAGTTAATTTTCAGGGACATAAGAATATGTTGTACACAGCACTATTCTCGATTAACCTATATATTTGGTATTCACCCAAATAGTTTCCCGCAGTAATCGTGACGCCTAAACCAAGATGATGAACAGACTTATAATATGATTCATGCTGCAACAACAGCGAGACAAACGAGAATAGAAAACAAACCCTAACAAAAAGATATTAACAATACATCTTACAAAATGATGAAACAACTGTGGCGGGAGACTGAGACTGAATAAAATTGATCTACGTTTTTTTATGTGAGAAGATGGCAAGTGACATTTGCAACACCTGTATGGTTGCAGATGGGTTGCCATCTTTTAATAAAGTGGGCCCCGGCTACCTAACTCACCAAACGAAACCCGAAAGGATGACACTTCCACTTGACGCCGATCTTTTGTGAGGTCGTGGTACTTACCCGGACGGATCTGCCCATTTGTGCAACAGCCGATGCTGTTGCGTAGCCCTAACACAGTGAACATTTATTCTTTTAATTTGATTTGAAGAAAATTAAATAAATGAAAGGTATATGATTTTTTCTCTGTTAAAAAACAAAAATAATGTGATATATAACCACATATGCTATCTATCTATGAAATCCCATCCTATATCTATGCATCCCTATTCAGAGAAACAAAGAATGTTTAACATTATTTAACGAGACCCCGCCAGCAACGAGTAAATCCTTGCGTTAAGTTTCGCGATCGTGAGGGAACCGTTATGTCAATGGCACTTTTAATAGTGTTTACATTCGGGAAACCTTTTCCGCCTTTCACTGGGAAGTTCTTATCTGTTCTAACACCCAAAACCTTTTAGTAACCAAACGCCTAAAGATGGCCGACAAGATTATTCACACGTAACGACAATAGAATGTTGTGTTGTTGCCATTTCTCTTATTGGTTTCTATGTTAACAGTTTTATTAAGTAACAAAGTGAGAATGATTCCTGTTAAATAAAAACTATAATTTATTTTAAAAACAATTAATTTACGGGAAGAAATATGTTTCATCCCGTAAATTAATTGTTTTGTATTAATTGTAATGTAACTCTAAGTTTAAATGAATTAAAGATAAAATAAACTAAAATGTTATGATGTACCCAATTCATATGGTATTTAATTATTTACCTTTTTACTCTTGAAATCACTCTAAACAAAATGATACCTGGATTAAGAATGTAATAAAATGTGGCCGAGAAAATGACATCTCAGTAATCAAATTAAATCGCAGTGAAAAATATTTGCTAGAACCAATAAACAAAGAAGTATTATGTTTAAGTGTGTTTTAATGTGTAAGTGAGCTTACACAAAATTAGAGTGGACGGCATTTTATTGAATTCCCTGATTCGGTAATATGAGATTTAAATCAAAGAACAAAAAAATACAGTTGCAAAATTAACAACCTTTGATCTAGTGTGGAGCTAGAACCGGTCGGTAGCAACGGTTACCGTTAATGAATTAACTCAGCACGCATCTGGCATCGTACTATGAAAGATGTGCTCATATAATCAGTACCTAATATCGCGGTAGGAAAGGCCGCAATAGATATCGCGTTGCGTTTGAAGGGTTCGGTCTCATTCTGGACGATACAGATAAGATATTTTACTAAATACAGGTATGGAAGAAAATACACGGGAAAGTGTTTTGCACAATCCAAGGAATATGTTAACTGTCCTGTTTTAATAATATGAAAAAAAAAATATAAGGGTATTATTTTGAATATTATATCTTAATATAAGCTCACTTGACCGACACACCCCTTAACTTTCACATCCATACGTTGTATTGCCAAACTGGTCAACATACACTTATCAAGATTGTATCGACATTTCCCCTCACATTTTTGCCGTAAACTACGTCTTTTCATTCATCCCTTGAACACGACTAAATCAACGAAACCTGAATATGTATTGATGATACATCGTGTGCCCTCGAGTACACTTAATTTTTAATTTCCAAACAAGTTTACAAAAGCGATCGTCAATATCCCCAAGCAGAATTTGAAAAAGACGACGTCACGTACGCTATATACTGAATAATATATAAGCTGCACTGCGTTTCGGAACGAAGCAACGTAACGGAACATTTTGAAAATGGAATCAGGAGACGAAAAGCACCATGCTCCTAAGATCGCTTCTGATCTTCTAATCGTTGATAACGATCAAGCGAATCCTTCTTTTTCATTCGTACCTTTTTTTAATTTGAAAATAGAACTCGAGCACTTTCTTCTTTTTCAGTGTCAGAGCCAGTCTTTGCTGATGCGGCGTGGGCATGCTCGTCTGGGGAAGTACCGCGACAACACAGAAGTCCGGCGTGAAGTGCAAATGTTATACTTCTGCGTTTCGTCTGTTGAGTGCGCTAAGCGATGCCTTCTCACTATATAGTAAAAAACAAGGTTGTTCCACTGTCTATCTCTCCCTATGTATGATTAGATCTTTAGAACTACGCAACGGATCTTGATGCGATTTATTTTACTAGATAGAGTGATTCAAGAGGAATATTTATATCTTCGTGCGAAGCCGGGGCGGGTAGTTTATTATAAGCGCCTGCAATCTGACGGGCGTAGGTGTCCATGGGCGGCGGTTATCACTTACCAATGAAACACCAGCTCGTTTGCCAAATTATCACGTAAGCAAGCACCGTTTACAGCCACACCTGTTCGTCGGATAGAGCGACGCGTCCAACACGTGCATCAACACCGCCGATGGCTTCGCGGCTGAATAACGGGTAAACTTTCTCCGGCGAGCGCCGCGCCGATTTGTGTGCCGGCACGCTCTGCTGTTCGCGCCGGTGCAATCGAGTTTTACAGTTTTATAACAACCGGCGGCGGCGACCGCGGGCGCGGAGATCGCAAGGCTGAAAGCGAAAACAGAACTTCTGGCGCTTCGAAACGGTCAGACCTAAAAGCGAAAATGACGCCCGATAGAGCTTCGAGTTCGATAAACGAAAACGGCAAACTAATGGGGCTGCGAAATAATTAGGAGCTAAATGAGAACGGTATTTTGGACGTAAAGAAAAGAAAGAGTTAAAGACGAAAGTCTTTAACCATCCGAAATAGACGCTCACTTTGAGCTCGAGGTAGAAGGGTTAGAGTTTCTCTAAAATCAGAAATGAGGAGATCCGTATAAGAACTAGAGTTAACATATCAGCATGAAGTGGCAGTGGGCAGGGTAGCTGGAACCGATGGCTGTTGGGGCAAAATGGTTCTCGAGTGGAGACCACGTGACGGCAAGCGCAGCGTAGGAAGGCCTCCCACAAGGTGGACGGATGACCTTGCTAAGATTGCAGGGACGCGTTGGATGCAGGCCGCTAACGACCACTCGAAGTGTAAGTCGCATAAAAAAAAAAGGTGGAGATGATCAAGATTGTTTAGAAACTGCAGATTTCTTCGACAGTGTGCAGTCCTCAAAGCTTTACCCAAGCACTGAGTAAATTTTTTATAGTTCCCTTTCTTCTACAAAATATCTCTACATTTAATCAAAAGTATAAAAAATTAAAGTAAAGTAACAGCCTATACATGTCCCACTGCTGGGCAAAGGCCTCCTCTATACAGAGGGTATCATAGTCCAAATGCGGATCTCTACATCTTGAAAAATATTTTTTTCTGTTATTATTTCGAACTATGTTTTCGATGTTTTCCTTCGCCGCTGAGCACGTGATAAGTCAGCACTTAAAGTTAAAAACTTCATTGGTGCCGGCACCGGGGATCGAACTCAGGTTGCTCGAGTATATTGAATTAAAGGCGAGCGCCCAGAGACAATCAAAAGTATAATACCACCTATTTCGAAGTAATTACCTAGCTAGTTAATAACATATTTCTATTTTAATTTAACAAGCCCCAGGATCACATTACTCTGTACCCCACAAAACAATTAAGGCAGAGAAACCCCTAACGATTTCCATACAACATACTATTTCTCAAAGGTCTTTTTGTCAGTACGTCATTTCATTCATCACGTTCATCATTCATCCCTAAATCTCGATCAAATTAAATTCAATAATTCAAGCACCACTTTAAAACTTACGTTCAACGCTAATGTTTTCATGAAAAAAATCCGTGCGAAAAATTCGCGTGATATATGATTAATATATTAATAATATTATCTCGTCTTCGGTGAGATCCGAACCCACGACGCGCGGTGCCGATTGCTACGCGACAGCAATGGCGGCAACTACACTCAATGCCGCCGTAAGTTATTGTTGATTCACCGCCGAGATGAATTTGTTTACGGCCTCACCGGATGCACGTCCGCTCCATTGTGTTCTGATGTCTATTTGCTTTCCTCGATACGAGCATCTCTTGATTAAGATGTAGATGGTGTTTGCCCTTGATATCGAACCTACTTTCGCCCTTTAGTGAAACTGCGAATTGCTGCCTAGAATCTCAGCTGCAGCTATCTGCATGTCTATACCTGCACATACATTACACTGCATATGACCAAAACATGACCAGTGACTGAAAGCAGTTGTGAGTTTTACATACAGAAGAAGATGCTAGTCTAGTATGTAGAAGAAGAAATCCTCTTTGTATATGGCGATAATTTTTCAAAAATCAAAATCAAATCAAAGTATTACACTCGCTTATTGATAGTCAAAATACTACATTCTATTATATGTTTGTTCCAAACGGACAATACTTTTTGGACCATTGTCATTTTCTTTTTTTTTTGTAAGATGATGGCAAACGAGCTGGGGGTTCATCTGATTTTAAGTGATAACCACTGCTCATTGACTCACCAACACCAAAGAATCGCAGAAATATAACACTTCCACTTCACGCCGGTCTTCTGTGAGGTCGTGGCAATCATTGGATTTGGCCCGTTTGGACCTGCCCATTCGTGCAACAGCGAAGACTGTTGTCTGGCTCTAACACAATAAAATTAATTATTCAGCCTGTTTGAACCCACTGCTGAACATAGATGGATGCTTCGTGTTAGTCTGGCTGCCACGAAGCATGATCGTGAGCCACCTGCATCCATTTCCCGTACACTTGTACAGGTCGTCACTCCATCTAGTTAGTGTTGAACCTACTACTACGGTGGATCATGACACAATTCATAAATGTCTGTTTCTAGATTTACAAAAGTTGTGCTATTGTGCTAACTTAAAAATTGCTTTTGGTGAATCGAAAGCAATAATACTTCATATAACCAACTCCATTAAGCAAAGCTCGTGTTGCACCACTGACAGCCTGTCATAAACATCATTGTATTCAAATCAACCAATGATTGGTAACGACTATTACACACCGGATTTGTCACGTTAGGAGTCAAGGCCTTTGATAGGACGTGTGATGACGTCATCTGTCAGCAGTTTAGTTCTGATGGCGTTTGTTTAGGCACGATTGCGAAAGTGAACTTGCTGCGTATTAATATTCCAAGTGTCCATTCGATTGAAGCTTTATAAGGTTAACGCCGTGATAACTCAGTGTTCGAGCGCTCGCTTTTAATTCATTATAATCGAGCAACCTGACTTAAAATCTCAGTGCCGGCACCAATGAAATTGTTAATTTTAAGTGCTGGCTTATCACGTACTCAGCTGTCAAGGAAAATATAGTAAGGAAACCTTCATATTTTCGAAATAATAGCAAAAGATAATGTTTCGAAGTGGCTCCGCGTGGGGGACTATGCCTGTCGCGTTTCGTAGATGTCCATGGGCGGCTGTACCTAATCACTTCATATCAGCCGAGTCGACTGGTCGCTTGCCAGCACATACAAATAAATCAAAATAAATAGCCTATTTAACAACAATCTGACGAAGGCCGTCAGTGAGATAAAATATCTAGGACGTCTAAATGCGATAATTTTACTTACTTCGCGTATTACGTACTCATATATACGTCTACACTTGAACGTGCAAAATCTTTTTATATGTTTCCGTTAGAACCAAAGTACGTGATTTAACATAATTTATCAAATAATATAAACTATATGTAAATAGTAATCCAATGGGTAAGATATACACTCGAAGTAATACGACGTGGAAGCGATAAATAAAATAGAAACAATCATCCAATGCAATTATAAATAGGCCATAATTTAGTCTATTTATTCATTTATTTATTTGGCACGGTTACAAAATGGAAATTATAACATTATCTAAATTATAACAGACCAATACATAAATAACTTGCATTTAAATAACAGCCAAGCACAACATTAAATTTGAATATGTAATTATAACATTTTATGTAATAACTAACACTTACTAATTTACTTTTAAGAAAGAAGCAGATCTATTTTTTCAGAGGACTTAGTAGTTTTTAAAAATGACGTCAAGTTTTAGTGTAATATCTATGTCTCTACATAAAATATTATACTATCTACTCATTTACTATAACCATAAACGTCCTAAAATACCGACAATTACATATAAACTTTTAATTGACAAAAAATTGACGAAAATCGAATGATTTCAACGACACAAACGTACACACCCAATACGAGTTGCGTTCAAGCTTCACTGAATTCAATCAAACTCCACGTAATGGTGATATCCTGGTAGCTCGTTAACAGATAAATGAAAAAATAAAGAGCACAGCTTAAAATAAAAAGAAATCAAACAGGTTAAGGTTTGAGCCGAACAACCGAGGACTACAGAAGAAACGCCGTGATGGTCTATTTAGTGGCTATGACGACTGGTGTTTTACAAATTCCTTGTACGTAATACGTACTATGTCTCCTATTTTGGTGTAAAAAGCTTTAAAGGACACTAGATGGTAAGAGGCTTGAAGGGTTTGTGTTTGTTTCATCATAATCATTATTTATTTTTTCAAAATTTTATTTTTTTATTTAAGTCCATTGAAGGACAAAGGACATGCTCTTTGAGCCCACAGACTGCCGCGAAGCACGATCCTGAGTCAATGAGGATGTATTTCTTCTGTATTTATACACAGTGTAATAATTGATTCGGTTCATTTTTGCTCGTGTGACCAATCGGTGTTACATCAATTTATACTGGCCGAAAGAAGGCTCCATCTTCGGTGGGTACGTGCCGAATTAAAAAGCGGCCCACCTTCGAATAAAGGCAACAGCCGGACAGGTTCAACGCTCGTGCGGAACCATCGGCCATTGATCCTGATAAGAGTAGGATCTCGCATTGTTGCAACGATCGCACGGATCGGTCTGATTGGAGGAGTAAAAAGTTTGCATCGCACAAAAACTCTTTCCTCGAATAAGTCGAGCGAAATTGAGGTACAGCTGTGACTGTTTCCCGACTAATGGCCGCCGCAAGTATACTAGCGCTTTAGGGATAAATGAGCTAACTTTCAATATTCTAATCTAAAGTCTGCAAACTAAACTAAACGGGGCATTAGGCTTCCTTGCCCAAAGGGTAAAACGGGGGTCCCGTTTACTAAGACCGTATTACTAAAACTCCGCTGTCTGTCTGTCCGTCTGTCACCAGGCTGTATCTCATGAAACGTGATAGTTAAACAGTTGAAATATTCACAGATGATGTGACTGCCGCTATAACAACAAATTCTAAAAAACAGAATAAAAAAATATTTTAGTGGGGCACCCATACCACAGATTTTTTTGACATGATTTTTTTGCCGTTTTTATAGATAATGGCACGGAACCCTTCGTGCGCTAGTCCGACTCGCACTTATCGGATTTTTTTTTATTTAGTTATAACTTTTATTTAGTTATAAAATTTGAAACTAATCAGGTACGGTACAGACTCGGAGGTCTGTGCCGTCACGGAAATACTTATGAACTACAAAATCCTTAGAATAATAAAACACGTATTTGTCGCAGTGAAACCGCGCAACAGTTTCTGCCGTTGAATAAGGACAGCCCCATCGGAAAAAGTGAGATAGAAAATACAGGAAAAGAAGGTCTGTTTGGCTAGTATAGAAAACGGGGCTCAATCTAAGAGGCAGAAAGTCGCTGAGAGTTGGCAACGCATCTCGTAGACAGGCGTTGGGAATGTCCATGTAAGCGTACACAAGTTATGTTGCTCTCACGAGAAAAAAATTAAATACCAAAAAAGAAATACCTAATCTGCTCTACACAAAAAGTACTATCTAAAAAAAACACCTAATGTAAGTTATCGATACAAGAAATCTATTTAATCTGTGCCACATTACCATGATTAAATCGGAGTTATAACGTTAGACTCTCGATTAATTATTTAAATTCGTAACTTTTAATGGTCTCCGTTTAGTCGACGATCGTTATTTATGTTAACACGAATACTTAATTCGTTACGTTTCTGTTGCAAAAACGTTTTGAGCGATTTTATGTGGACTGTAGTGAACGCTTTCTTCGACCTTTCCGGTCAGTGGAACGCGCACGAGTTACAGCGTATTGCGATTCTACTCAATTTGAGGATCATTATCAATTTTTCATTGGAAACATGGATAAAACTAAATATTATATAGGTATACTAGCCGCTGCTCGCAACTACGTCTGCGTAGAATAGGCTGAAGGCGTAACATTCAGACTTAAAAGTATGTATACAACTATAAATTATAGCCTATGTGTTATTCTGATGTATAAGCTATATTATTGTAAAGTTTCATTAAAATCCATTCAGTAGTATTTGGGTGAAAGAGTAACAAACATCCATTCATACATACAAACTTTCGCGTTTATAATATTAATAACTATTAACCGCGGCTTCGCCCGCGCGGCCAAGGAAATAACAATGAGGTTTTTATTATACACCAGAATATTAACCAGACTTATCATTACCTATATTTTGGAAAATTGACAAAATATCTTTTTATATTATAGCCTATGTGTTATTCTGATATCTAAGCTATATTTTGTAAAGTTTCATTAAAATCTATTAATTCCAAACATCCATCCATACATACAAACTTTCGCGTTTATAATATTAGTAAGGATATATAAACTCTCATTACTGTATTTATTTTTGGCTCGGTGGCGCCGTTGCTAAGCTATCGGCTTCCATGTTGGGTGTCGTGGGTTCGATTCCCGCGCGGGACAAGTGTTTGTGTGGCCCACAGTTAGCTGTTCCCGATCTGGGTCTTTGTTTTCCAAAGAGGGTTGACGTCAAGCAGGCCGGTCATAAAAAATATAGCCAAAGCCGCTTAAAACATGATTCACATGTTCTGCCGATCCCACCTATGTGTGATAAGGACAGAAGGATGATGATGATGAAGGTTCTTTTTAAGAAAATAAATTGAAAAAATTAAATTGATCGCCTCCTCACAGACCTCCAGGAAGCACAATTCTGAGCAACGCGCTTCCGACTTCCCACACACTTACAGTACGCCACTCAATCTATTGGAGGGTCGTCCTACACTACGATGGTCATTACGAGGCTGCC